CTCCTGCCTCAGCCTCCTGAGTAGCTGGGATTACAGGCACGCGCCACCATGCCCAGCTAATTTTTTGTATTTTTAGTAGAGACAGGGTTTCACCATGTTGACCAGGATGGCCTCGATCTCTTGACCTCGTGATTCACCCACCTCGGCCTCCCAAAGTGCTGGGATTACAGGCGTGAGCCACCGCGCCCGGCCCGAGACATGCTGTTTTAAGGATGTCAAACCAGTGTTTTGATTCATTTTGGTTTTGCTGGAATGTCAGGATCTCTCTGGGTTAAGGAAAGAAGGGAATGTCACACACAGAAAGAGCTGCCGTGTGTCAGGGAGAGGGTCTTCTCAGGGAGAGGGTCTTCAGCTATGTTAGCGTTTCTGTCAAGGCCAGTGTGGTCCATGTTTGTTGTCACAGAGAGTCAAAGGGAAAGAAGCAATGCCAGCCTGTCACAGAAACCTGCTGAGTAACAGCCATCCTTGAAATTTGCCCCTCGTGTTTGGTTAAGATTTTTCAACACCAGTGCCAACAGACAGGCTCTTTGCCACCATGAGCTGGAGAGAAATGGAATCCTGGGACTAGAACTCAGTGCCTGGAACAAGCCCATCTCACTGAGACTTCACAGAAGGTCTTTCCATGACCCTTGCTTGTACCCAGGAGCCACAGACCATTTGGAACTTCTCTGAAGACAAACTCAGGCTTAACGACCCATTTTCCTGTGCCCTTGGAAAATGGTCTCAGGCACACAAGAGTCAATTAAAATCAGAGTCCACCAACTTGAATGAAATAGCCCTGGGCCACAGAGACAAGTCCCAAGGCTGGCGCCCACACCAGGCAAAGCAAGCAGTGGCCTCCAGAGAAAAGCAATTATTTAGGGTTGCAGCAAAGATGTGAACTACTAGCAGGGGCCTCTAAGTTCCCTCACCTTCCCAGCAGCCTCTGCAAACATCCAAACATCCTGGATACTGAATGCCTCGGTGGGAGATCATTAAACCATGTTCCCCATGCTGGCCTCAGCTTTGAAGAACAGTACACAGGCACGCTAACACCCAAGGTCCCGCCAGGACATGGGAGGGCCTGCTCAACCCTGCCCCGCCCCGAGATAGGAACTGATATTTAGTGAAACTCCAAGTGCACCAGCTCCACACGCACCATCTCATTGAACTCTCAGGACAATCTCTCAAGTGGGGACTGCACTGTTCCCATTTTATGGATGGTCACACTGAGGCTCAGATAGGTTAAACGATATTTCCAGGGTCATAGGGCTTGCAAATGGCTAACCCTGGGCTCTTCACCAGCCTGCCATATTGCTTACTTCAGTGGACAAGGGCATGAGCTCTGGAGCCAGGGTGCCTGCACTCAAATTGTGAATCTGTCTTACGCTGGCTGTGTGACCCTGAGCAAGCTGCTTTCCTTCTCTGTGCCCCAGTGACCTCATCTGTAAAATGGGAATCATCTTACACACCTCATAAGTATCACACTGATTGAATAACCCACATACTGCTTGGTACAAAGCCCAGCACTTTCTAAGGACACAATAAATATGAGTTGGCTATAGTTTAGATGTGTGTCCTCTGCAAACCTCCTCTGGAAATGTGATCCCCGATGTTGGAGGTGGAGCTTGGTGGGAGGTGTTTTGGTCATGAGGGTGGATTTCCTCATGAATGACTTGGTGCCCTCCTTACGGTACTGTGTCAGTTCTCACTGTTAGTTCACATGCCAGCTGCTGTTTAAAGAGCCCCATGCCTCCTCCCCTTTCTCTTGCTCACTCTCTTGCCATGCTACGCACCTGCTCCCCGTTCACCTTCCACTATGATTATAAGCCTCCTGAAGCCCTCCCCAGAAGCAGATGCTGGTATCATGCTTCCTGTACAGCCTGCAGAGCACTGAGCCAAATAAACCTCTTCCCTTTGTAAATTACCCAGCCTCAGGTATTGCTTCATAGCAATGCAAAACAGACTGATGCAGCTCATGTGATAACAGGGGTTCTGTTACTAGAACCCACTTACGCCAAATGCAGCTCTGACCCAGAAGAGCAAGGCCTGGAAGTGGCCAGTGCCATCAACACAGAGCCATCCTGGAGCCCGTGCGTCTCTCTCATCTCATCAGACCAACGAAGTGACAACCACGGTGTGTTCCCAACTCTGTGAGGGAGAGGAGGTGCATGTGGTGCGTCCCTGCATGTGCACAGGACACCGGGTGCAGTCATGTAATTAAACAGAGCTGCAAAGGGGCGCTTTGTTTGATGGGGCAAGCCGTCCCAGGGAAACACTTTTAAGAAAATGGCAGGAGGCCTCGTATTTTAAAAAGTCATCCTCCCTCTACTTCTATGTATTCATATATCCAAAAGAACTGAAAGCACGGACTGGAACAGATATTGGCCCGCCCATGTTCATAGCAGCATGACTCACAATAGCCAAGAGGTAGAAGCAACCAAAGCGGCCAGCAGTGGATCAACAGACAAACAAAATGTGAAATATACACACACTGAAATATTACAAAAGGAAGGAAACACAGACACACACTCCATATTCATGCTGCACAAATGAATGACTCTACCTCTTTGCAGTTATGGGGCTGGGGAGCAAGTCACAGGCTACGCCGTGGATGAACCTTGAGGACAAATGCTAAGTGAAATAAGCCAGACACAGAAGAACAAACAGTGTGAGATGTTAAACGCAGAGTAGTCAAATTCACAGACAGAAAATAAAATGGCGGTTGCCAGGGGCTGGGAAGAGGAGGAAGTGGGGAGCTGGCACTTAATAGGTATGGAAGCGCTTAATAGGCATGGTTTCAGTTTTGCAAGATAGAGTTCTGGACATGGATGGTGGTGACGGTAGCAAGACAGTCTGAACGTACTTAATGTCACCTAACTGTACACTTAAAAATGGTTACGCTGGTAAATTTTATGTTACATGTATTTTACCACATTAAAAAAAAAAAGTAAAAATAGACCAGATGCAGTGGTTCAGCCCTGTCATCTCAGCACTTTGAGAGGCTGAAGTGGGCAGATTACTTGAGCTCAGGAGTTCGAGAGCAGCCTGGCCAACAAGGTGAGACCCCATCTCTACAAAAATTATACAAAATTAATACAAAAATTATCCAGGTGCAGTGATGCATGCACTTGTAGTCCCAGCTATTCAGGAGGCTGAGGTGGGAGGATCATCTGAGCCTGGGAGGCGGAGGTTGCAGTGAGCTGAGATCGCATCACAGCCCTCCAGCCTGGGCGACAGCAATAACAGCAGCCAAGTTAAGATGGTAAATTTTACGTTACATGTATGTTCTAAAAATATACAACACACTTGCTAAGTAAAGAAGCCAGTCACAAGGACTAAGATTCCATTTATGTGAGATGTTCAGATAGGCCAACCCATGGATTCAGAAAGTCGATCATGGTGGCCATGGGTTCAGGGAGTTGGTGCAACGGGCAATGACTTTTTTGGGATACTGAAAAATGTTCTGAAATTAATAGTGGCTATGTCTACACTACTGTGAACGTACTGACGACTCCTGAATTCTGCACTTTAAAGGAGTGAGTCTTACGGTGTGTGAGTTATATCTTAACATAAACAGCTATACAAAGGAAAGTTGCTGTCGGGAAAAAAATCATGCTGTCCTCTGCTTGCTTCCCCGCAGTGGTCCCTGTGCTCCTGGCTTGAAGCCTTTGCCTACACCATTCTCTCTGCACGAAACCTTTCCCTCCTGGTCCACACCTACCCAATGCATGGTTCATACTTTCTCATCCTTCAAGCATAAGCTTCATTTCCAGGAACCTCCCTTCCTGCCTGGGACCCAGAGCACCTGGAACTCCCCTCGGAAGACTCACAGATGCATGTTCCCTTCTCCCAGCAGCAACACCTAGAATCCATCACACTCCACAAATGAATGGCCCCACCTCTTAGCAATTGCGGGGCTAGAGGGCAAGTTACAGCTTCCCTCACCTTGCTCTTCCTCACCTATAAGATGGAGCTAACACTGCTTCCCTCATGGAAGTTTATGCGTTGTGGCCAGGCACAGTGGCTCATGCCTGTAATCCCAGCACTTTGGGAGGCCGAGCCGGGCAGATCACTTGAGGTTGGGAGTTTGTGATCAGCCTGGTCAACACGGTGAAACCCCATCTCTACTAAAAATACAAAAATTAGCCAGGTGTGGTGGCCCATGTCTGTAATCCCAGCCATCTCAGGAGGCTGAGGCAGGAGATTTGCTTGTACCCAGGAAGCAGAGGCTGCAGTGAGCTGAGATCACGCCACTGCATTCCAGCCTGGGTAACAGAGCAAGACTATCTCAAAAACAAGGAGTTTATGAGTGGAGCCCTTCTGAAGTAGCCGCAGTTGGTGACTTCATAAATGGTAGGAAAGAGCCCCATTTGGTGATGAGCCTGGGAGGAAATAAGCAACGCTTGAGGCAGTCAAGGCTGAATTCTGAGGTCAAGTGGAGCTGAATGTGGGTTTTAAATTCAACTCATCTTTCAAGGGTTATTTATTGAGCAAACATGTGCAGACATGGTCCCAGGCACTGAGGGCACAGCGGTGAACAAAACTGACAGGATGGATTGCACAGGGGTGCAGTGACAGGCAAGGGCAAGGGACGGTCACACTCGACAACACTGTCGAGCCCCCACTTGGCTGGGGCCCTGCTCTAGGCACTGGGGGGATGGCTGTGGCCAAGGGAGGGAAGAGCCCTGCAGGGCTGGCACCCCGTGGGTGGACAGATGATCAATCAGCAAAGTCACTTCAAATTGTGGCAAATTCCACGAAGCAAGCGAAGAAAATGACAGGACAGAAAATAAGCCAGAGCCGTGGACTAGGGCTGGCAAAGAAACAGCCTTTTGGAGGCATGGCACTGAAGCTGAAGTGAGACCCAGGCATGTGAAGAGACAGAACAGAGAATTCCAGGACAAAGAAACAGCCAGGGCAAAGGTCCCGAGGCAGGAACAGCTTACCTTGACCGGGGCGGGGGTTGTTGCTGGGAAGTGAGCAGAGTGCAGATGCCATGCAGCCTGGAAAGATGTGATGAGGAATTTGAGCTTTATCCTAAGAGCAATGGGGACGCATTAAAAAAGGTACTGCCTTCTATGAGCATGGCATATGTCCTAGGGAAATGAAGTGAACTCAGGTCCAGTCATTTATATTTTATGCAGAACCAAAGGCACTAGTATATTTCAGCTGCATGAGCAATGCAGGATTTCAACATTACTTAGGCAGGATGAATAGGGGCAGGGAGAGACTGGAGTCAGGGAGGCTGGGGAGGCGCCTCTATTAGATCTACTGTGAATTGATGGAGACCCAGATGAGGAGGGTGGCGGGTGGACTGGAGGGGAAGGGAGGAAGCAAAGCCTGGACTAAGGAATTAAAGAACCGGGAAGAACTGAAGATGGAAGCCAGGGGCAGGTTTGGTCACCAGCAAAGGAAAAAGCCCCAGATGTCCCTGGCCTCCTGGGGTAGAGTGTGCAGGACTGGACTCATCTGGAAAGAGAGATTCTCATGTTTCCTTTCACTATCAGAACACGTGCACAGACCAAAATGCACGGATACATGGGACATTCAGTGCTGAAAGAAAGATTCTGTGAATCTCTCAATTATTTATAAGTATTTAAATTAGTTAATTATTCATTAGCAACAGGGAAGCCTATATGGAAATGTGTACTCACACACTGTGATATGTTATTTAAAATCCCAGGCGATCCTTTCCTTTTCCCTCTGGGGCCAAATAAAACAACGCTAGATGCCTTCTGTAGGTCACATTTTCTCATCTTCTCAGTAACCAAAAATTAGGTCTTAGCAGCTATTTCTGCTCCTCCTCCTCTCCAGCCCAACTCCCCATTCTCACTTGCAGCTGAAAGCTTTGCTCGCCATTTAAAAAATCCTTGCCAGAACCACGTGCACCCCCAGCTACTATCCTGCTTCTCTGCTCCCATTGATAGGTGAACGCCTTTACACAGTGGACTCTATTTGCTACCTCCTGGTCCTCTCCCCACATTGCATCTTGAACTCACTCCCATCGGGCATTCTCCCCCATTCACAAGGAAACAGCCTTGGTTGAGGTCGCCAGTACCTCCGTGTTGCCAATCCAATGGTTCCTACTCAATAATAAGAGGGGGAGCCGATGGTTCAATTAATGGAGTTGTCCTGGACCAGATGCATTGGCTTATGCCTATAATCCAGCATTTTGGGAGGCTAAGGTGGGAGGATCACTTAAGCCCAGGAGTTTGAGACAAGCCTGGGAAACATAACAAGACCCCATCTCTATTTAAAAGAGAGAGAGAGAGAGAAAGGGAGTTCTCCTGTGTGTCGGGCACATGAACAGTGGCAATTATGCCCATTTGACAAATGAGGAAACTAAGGTGACACAGAGATAAGAAGGCATTTGCCTGAGATTGGACATCGAATGACTTATAGGCACCAAGGGAGGCAGGGAAGGGAGTGATACCCAATGCACGAGATGTGGACAACCTGTCCCCAAGGATGTTTCCAGCAACCCCGCTGCGGGACAGGCAGGCCATAACCCCACACAGAGTCCCCAGCAGCTTCCAAATCACATCACAGGCCCAACCCATGCTATAGCAGAAAAAGCAGGCGGCAGAGCCCGTGGCTTAAGTCCCGTGACCACCCACGTCGCTGCTTCTTGGTATGGGGACCCTGGGCAAGTCACCTGGCATCTGAGTCTCGGTTCTGGAATTTGCAAAATGAGATGTGAATTCTGGCCCTGCCTTCCTCACGAAGGGGCTGTGACAGTCCAGGGAGATGACGTGAGTGGTGAGTGTTTGGCACACTAGGAAGTGGCGGAATATGACTATTTCCGCGCTGGCCCCATCTGCCGCTAAGCTCAGCACCCACGGTGGCAGATATGTAGCATGACGTTTCCATGAATTCTTGCCATTAGGAATTCCCAACACCCACGCTTTTTCCTTCTGAAAGTTCTGCTGCATGAAAGAGGCAGAGAACAAGCCACCGCCTCTCCTCCTTCTCTGGATAATTCTCCAAGAGTCTCTCCCCGACACCAATCCTCCCTGCCCATCAAGCCTCTGTGGAATTCCAGCTCCTGAAACATGCAAACAATTCATAGTAGAGACGACCAGTGATTTGGAAAAGCCAGATCATTTGCCATTTCTCCTTTTTAAAAGGTCTTTGGGGACATGATTAACAAAAGCCAAGTCAGGAGAAAAAGATAGAAATGAGAGCCCCAAGGTTTTTGGGGGGGCGGGGGGAGGTTTAATGTTTTCAATTTGCTGACCTTGACTTGAAACTAGAGGCCAGACCTGGGCAGCCAGCAAGCTGTGGCGAATATCGCTGCCGATGAGAGTCCGTTTTTGTCCATTAATACCCCGCTTGTGCCCTAAGAGCAGGGCATGGTGTATGGCAAGTACATTAATTCTCCCCCACAAGGCGGGACACCACAATGGTTAGTAAGTGGCTAGAACCATCCCACCCAAGCCGGCCGCGTGCTCCTGTGTGCAGACCGCACCACTGAACACTGGCCTCAGTGCCTCTCACAACCTCCACAAGAGCCAATACGAACAGAGCATCTCCAAGGTGCCAGGTGTGGTCAGAGGTACCTACCACAGGTTAGTGTATTTCATAAATCTTCGCCAGTTTCTCTTTCAGGTTGGAATATCACTCCCATTTGATAGCTGGGGAAACTGAAGCTCGGAGAGCAGCAGTCATGGGGGCCAGGATCACGGGATTACCATCAGTCAAGGCTGGGACTTAAGCCTAGGTCATGTGTGTCCAAAAGCCACACTGCTCTCAAATACTCCACCAAGGGAATTCAGACTCCAGTGCTCCATGGTACAGGCAGGTAAAGTGAAAGCAGGCCAGGCGGGACTGCGGTGAACTGACGACACACACCCATCTAAGGGGAAACGCAGCAACGCTGAGGTACCCACAGTGATTTGCAGGAATCTCACCCGCATTCAGCCAGGTGAAAGAAGCCATCTCACAAAAGCAAAACTACAGGGACCAGAAACAGATCAAGTGGCCGCTAGCAGCTGAGGGTCAGGGACAGCTTGACCACGAAGAGGTAGCAGGAGGAAATTTGGGGGATGGTGGAAACACTCAGCACCCTGGTGGCGGTTGTACAAAGGGATTTTTATCAAAGCTCCTATGACCATACGCTAAAAAGCCTGAATGTAACCATATGCAAAGGAGATCTTAAACAAAATGGGACAAAACAGCAAATCTAGGGGCTGCGTCCAAGCTGCGGGCTGCTGTTTTGTAATCTCTGCCCCACCGTCCACATCATGAACACCGGTCACATGCAGCAATGAACCTGTGGGGCTGGGGGTATGACCGAGAGGGGAAGAGGTAAGGGGAAGGCGCTGGCTCCCTTCTTAGTTCCATCACCTGCCGGTGGGGTGACCCTGACAAATAGCTTTCTCTCTCTAAGCCTCAGTCCTCTCTGTTTCAAAGAGGGGTGAGGACACCTTTCTTTGCATTGCAGTTGTCAAAATTAGAGATTCTAGAGAGAATGCTCCCAGCACATGGCAGATGCTCAATACATTCTCATGCCCTTGGAAATTCTCGTGTCCCTGGCCTCCCAGGAGTCATGTGGGCCCAGCAATCATCCCCTTTTATGACCAGATTTCCCAGGGGACCCTCCTAGGTCACCTTAGCCCACCTAGAAGCTGGGAAAAAAGCCAACCAGGCCTGGGACTTGCTCTTTCTCCTGATAGCTCCCCTGGGAGTCCCTAGCGTAGCCACCCACAGAGACCAGGTGGGATATGTAACTGCCCACCTCGCGCCCCCAGCCACATTGTTACAGGTAAGTTCATCAGACCAGCTGGCTATGCAACTTAACAGGAAGGCAGAACAGCAAGGTAGCTAAGAGCGGGGGCTCCGGAGGCAAACAGACCTAGTGGGTTCAAGTCTCTTTTTGTTTTGTTTTTTGGAGACAGAGTCTTGCTCTGTCACCCAGGCTGGACTGCAGTGGCGCAATCTCGGCTCACTGCAACCTCCACCTCCCAGGTTCAAGCAATTCTCCTGGCTCAGCCTCCCGAGTAGCTGGGATTACAGGTGCACACTACCACGCCCAGCTCACTTTTCCACTTTCAGTAGAGATAGAGTTTCACCATGATGGCCAAGCTGGTCTCCAACTCCTGGCCTCAAGCAATCCTCCCACCTCGACCTTCCAAAGTGCTGGAATTAGGGGTGTGAGCCACAGCACCTGGCTGTGTTCAAGTCTCGACTCTAACACTTGTTAGCTAAAAGACATTGAACAAGTGGCTTATGCTCCCTAAGCTTTGATTTCCCATCTATAAAAGAAGGATGCAAGGAGCACCCGGTTCTCAGACTGTGGAGAGAATTAAGTGCAAAGATGCTGCCATGTTCCGCACACCATAGAGCCCAGTCCACTTACCTGGATCTTTCACATCAAATGCTGCTGAGTATTGCTCTCCCTGGAATCCCTCTGTGGATGAGTATTTATAAGGCTTAAATAAAATACAGTTCCCAGTGAGGTACATGACATTTAATAGATGCTTGATAAATTGCAGCTGGTTTTATGATGATCTTGTTGCTACTAGTGAAAGATCACGCTCCGGAGGCATCGGAGCAGGCACAGACCATGTCCAAATGGGATAACTGCTGGGCATGGTGGTTCACGTGTGTAATCCCAGCACTTTGGGAGGCCAACGTGGCAGATCATGAGGTCAGGAGTTCGAGACCAGCCTGGCCAACATGGTGCAACCCCATCCCTACTAAAAATACAAAAATTAGCCAGATGTGGTGTTGGGCGCCTGTAGTCTCCACTACTCAGAGGCTGAGGCGGGGTAATTTCTTGAACCCGGGAGGTGGAGGTTGCAGTGAGCTGAGATCACACCACTGCACTACAGCCTGGGCAACAGAGAGAGAATCCAACCAAAAACAAACAAATAAACAAACAAAAAACCAAATGGGACACCTGGATTCTTGAATCTAAAATGCCAGAAACACAATTACTAGAGAAACATAAAGTACCAGGGTCCTGTCACAGTCCCGGACATGAATTAAAAGAGACCTGGGCCTCCAAATATCCAGCAGACACTAAGCACCTGATCCCCACAAGAGGGAAAGGACAATATTCTGGAAACAGACCAAACCCCTTACAGAAGGTCACCGAGTGAGTGAGAATTGAAATCCACAAAAGGAGAGAGCCTCTGTTCCCTGACTGAGGCGCAGAGTACAGCCAGCTCCTCCCAGATTGTCACAAGCAGGCCACCCCCGCCCTCATGAAGGGAATTCATAATCGTACTAGGTGGGATAATTAGGCAGTCACAGAAAGGAAGCCCGGGAGGGAGAAACCCGATTATCAACTGTGCCGACTGCCAGGAAGGAAATCTTTCTCCCCGATCTTGGTCGTTAACTAGCTGTGTGTGCTGTTCAACTCAACACTCAGCGGGAGTTCATCTGGGCAAGAGCATCGCTGGATGTTCTTTTCTAACTCAAAAGCCATTATGCAAACTAGAGAGAGGTCTCTAGGGTCACGCATGGCATTAGGACGACAGATGGATTTGGGTTCTACTACTCAGATTTTGTTGGCTGAGCATTTTTCCCCTGGACTAGGGGAGGGAAGGGTCTAACACTCTTCCTCCCTCATTGCTGAAGCTATTTCTACCTCTGCAATCGACGCACCCGTGGCTGCACACCTCCCATCCCCAGTACACACACACCTGCTGGGAGGGAACAGGCGGGAAAAAGAAGAAGTCTCTGCTCAGCCCACAGGGACTCTGTCCAGTGCCTCCCTTACTTGTCACAAATCCATCGGGGATGAGGGAATATTTGCTTTTAAGCCACTATCCACTCTGAACTTCTAAAACTATTCCTTTTTCTTATTTGCCAGTCTCCTGGGTAACCCTCGGATAAGCCGAACTCTCTCTGGACATCTTTTCAATTCAGTCTAGTGCTTCAATTCATTCAAGCCTGTCCAAAAATCTCCTCCTCCAAGAAGTCCTTCTTGACTCTTTCACTATGGATCTCATCTTTCCTTCAAAAACCTTTTTTTTTTTTTTAAGATTTTCTAAAAACCATTGTACAGGTGTCAAGAGCTCTGTATATAGCAATGAACAAGACACATCCTTCTCCATGAGGTACTTTCTGAAAACTGGGTCCCACGTGACTCAGCCTCTGGTTCCATCCCATCTTATGGTGTCTCCATCTGGCAAAGGTGGTGTGGGTGAGCAGGAGAGTCAGAAAGATCCAAGGTTCGAGTATTAGCTCTGCTCCCTCCTTCCTGCGTGACTTTAAGCAAGCTGCTGAGCCTCTCTGATTCTCTCTTCCTTGTTTGGAAAAATGGGGATAATAGCAACTACCACTTAGGGTTGTTGTAACCAATGGGTTAATACAGGACAAGGGCAGGGACATGATAAGTGCTCAGAAAGTATTCTCCTGTTATCTTTATAACAGGCATTTGATATACTGTGAATGTTTTTATTAGTAGATTTCAATTCAATATTAAACAATTCTCCCTGACTGTCTTGTCAATTCCTTATCAACAGTAAAGGTCCCTCTGTCCCCTCCGATGCCTGTCAGCAGAAAACAGAGCCATTTGGAGTCTGATATTTGCTGATGGTGAATGAGCTTGCTCCAGTTTAAAGATGAATCGCTGCAAGTGTTTTCCTCCCAACAGCAGCCAGTCTTTGTCACCATGCGCTGGTTTAGTACGCGGCTTGTTATTTATAGACATCATGTCACAGAGCCCTCGAAGTGGTCCTAGGAGTTTGCTCCTGGACTTGAAGTCCTAGGCCCCAGGAACACTTCCTCCCTTCCACTCCCACCACCTTTCCTGCCTATGCCTCTCAGCCTTCTGGAATTTTTATGTGTCTCTTCCCCCCCTCTTTATCTGGATAAGCCCACAGGCTCAGGAGTCAGGCAGACCTGGTTGGAAGCCAGCTCTAAGCATCTTTCAAAGGGGGCTACCCAAATGCTTTCTCTAAAAAGGTAACTAGGGATGACATGACTTAACATATCAGTGAAGCCTAGTACATAGCAAATGCAATAAAGATTAACTGTCATTATCTCCATCATTGCCCTAATTGGAGGTATAGTAGTATGTACATAATTAAGGCCAAGGACTGTGTCTCGTTTCTTTAGAACACAAGACATTATAGACTTTTCTCTATAACCCAAGTCTGCATGTTGACACGGTCCCCAGGGGGATGTTGTTGGTCAGACCCAGGTGGGCCTGAGGTTGAGATGAGTAGGCTTGGTCCCTGGGCATTCCCATGGTCTGGGGAAATCAAGCCAGAGACAGGAGCAGGCACGCAGGTAGCGGCAGAGGTGGGCAACCATGTGCGCCCCGGAGAGGCAGTAGCAGGCTCTAATGACCTCCAATCCTGAGACAGAGCACCTGATTCTGAGGAGTGTCCCTTTGTCCCATTCAACCAAACAATCTCTCCAAGCACTTCAAAATACCCTTCAGGTATGAGAAGGCGGGAATTAAATAAATCCCTTAAATAGAAAAGTATTCAGTGGTTAAAAGAGATAAGTATAATCCTCGTGTACTGGCACACAAAGATCTCAAAGGCTTTATTTAAAAGTAAAAAGTAGGCCCAGCATGGCGGCTCACTCCTGTAATCCCAGCACTTTGGGAGGCCAAGGCGGGTGGATCACCTGAGGTCAGGAGTTGGAGACCAGCCTGATCAATATGGCGAAACCCCCGTCTCTACTAAAAATACAAAAATTAGCTGGGTATGGTAGCAGGCACCAGTAGTCCCGGCCACTCGGAGGCTGAGGCAGGAGAATTGCTTGAACCTAGGTGATGGAGGTTGCAGTGAGCTGAGATTGTGCCACTGCACTCCAGCCTGGGTGACAGAGCAAGACTCTGTCTGAAAAAAAAAAAAAGAAAAAGAAAAAGAAAATATTTACTTTATAACCTCAGGGGCAGATGGTTGAGGTAAGCACACTCAATAAAGTATTAAAGACATGTGTTAGTATATACATTAAAAATATTTTTTAAATTGGCCTCAGTGATTGAGCTACTCCAACTTCTTCAAACTCCTTTCTCCTCCACAGAACTACTTTCATCTCTTTAGTCATCTTGGCCACGCCTCCCTGGGCCCCTATCCATGTCTTTGCATGTTTTTGTTTTAAACAAGTGACCAAAGCTGGGTTGGGAATTCCACTGAAGGCCTGCCTGGTGTAGGGGGAAGCTTTAGCCATCACAATCCTTGGAACACGTCCCCAGAATCTTGCTGACTCTGTTCAGAGATAGTCACTAATGACCAGCATCCCCAACTTCAATTTGGGGGGATTTTGTCTGATCCATCCTCTTTATCCTGCCTCTGGATTGCCTTGCATGAGCTTTGTGGTGGCTTTTTTCTGGGCACTTGGGGATATTATTTAAATTAAGTGACATTTATTGAGTCCCTGCCATGTGCAAGGACTGTGCCAGACCCTTCAGCTGTATTAACTCATTTGGTCCTTCCAGCAACGACTCTGTAGAGGGTGACATTATCTTTGTTTCATAGGTGAAGAAACTGAGGCTCAGTGAGCTGTGACCTGTCACTGGTCACACAGCCAGGGAGGGACAGAGCTAGGGTTTGAACCCATGTTCTTCCCACTCCACGTGGAAACCGCTGTTTTTGTTCATAAAACAGTAAAAAAATTCATCTCATTCTGTTTTTAGAATATCATTTTCCTCAGTTGTTCAAAGCTCTTTGAATTCTATTTCTGTCTTCCAGGATATTAACCCTGCCTTTTCAATATCATCTACATGTTTAATAAAGTAGATTCTTCAATCCTTCAACCAGGTTGTCAGCAAGGACATTAAGCGGGAGAGCTCCCAGGAGTTTTTGGAGAGTCAATTCCTATTTGGTTGAGATTCTCAAACCACTGGTTCACTAATCTGTCAATCACTTTGTAGTATTTACTGACCACTTCCTACGCCTCTGCTAGGAGATGTCGGGAGTAGCCCTTGGCTGCAAGAATCTCACAGTCTAATTGCACAATGCAGTGTGGTTAGGACCACATTTGCCCACAGGGCCAATAAAAACGACAGGGAAAAATGTTCACTGTAACACTGTCTATAACAGTAAATTCTCTAAAAATCAAATTACTAAACTATGGTATGCCTATTTCGTGGAAGGTTAGACAGCCATTATGATATTTTTGTAAGCATTTGAAACATGGAGAAAAAAGAATGTTAAGGCTGCAGTATTATCTATAGGATATGTTCACAGCCCCCTCCTGTAATATTGAGCCATGGTCAAAAGTAAAACCCCAGGGTTGAAATATTACAGTAGATTATGAAAATAAAATATAAACAGTTATAAAATATCTTTACAAACTTTAAGTATATAAAATCCAACACAATGTAAAAGCTGTGTGATTGATAAAACTTTGGTGAGATGGTGTTTTGGTGGGCTGGGCTGAGACTTAGATCAATTCCATGAAATGTGGACCCACAATGTCCTTTCTGCCAATTTCACCAAAGCAAGCAGAAGCATTCCTCAATGTTCCAAAGAATTTGTTTGCATTCAAAATTAGTGTCAGCTCTCTCTAAAATTATCTTGACCAATCAAGCCACATTTTGTGTAGCAAGTTTCTCTATAAGGCACAGTCCTTGGCCTTAATATTGTAGCAACAAGAACATCAGCAATGAGAATGATAACGAGGTCTTCTTTGATCTCACTTTTAAAAGTGCAATTCCCCAAATGCTTACCTCTTGTCCCTGCCTTGTTTCCCCAAAGCACTTACCACCTCTGTCACATCACCATTTGTCATTGTCTCTTGAGATGCCATTTGCTGTGAGATACATCATTATTTTATGTACCACTAACAGTGAAAAAAAATGCCATTTAAATGATATGAAGCCTTAACCATAGGGCTGAATCCAAATGAATCAGTTCCATCAGCCTCGCAATGTTTTAAAAGTTTTTTCATCTTTCCAAGGGATTTGACCATTTCCCTTGTCTTTACTTGTGCTGATGGGCTAATGGTAGGCGAGCCTTCTGCACTACTTATTACCTCAATGATCAAATGCAACACAGATGCATCCTCCTTGAATACCTTCCTTGCTTATGTCATACTAAGTACGCGGATGCTGGTTTACAAGAAAACAATGGAATTATGATTGTCACTCCAATGATGAAACATTGTCTTCACTAACATCAGACAAATGTCCTGCTGTTTGTTTCCCTGCCTTTCTGTGTACACAGTACCAACACCCAGTCAGATGGGTATAGTGTTAAGAGATCTTAAGTGGTATTAAAATCCCATGTATAATAGTTCCCACAGTGCGCTCAGCTCAACAAAAGCGACAGCCATCTGAATGACCTTAGTGATGCTTCCGCAGGAACATACAATGACAAGCACATCTTGACTATTGTCCCCACCAAGAGCAGGCATGAGACAGCAGCAGTTCCACTGACTGCAAAATTATCCAGGTTTCAAAGACATTGAAAAGGGGGATGGGGCTGCATTTCAGAACTGATGAAATCTGGCAATTATGTTACTCATTTTCATCTCCTGCCCCAACTTAGAACGGATGCTCTTTGAGGCAAGGGATTTTCATGTCTTCTGTTCTCTGCCATATTTTCAAACTCTAGAACAGGAACAGGGACAGAGCAGTCAACATCTGCTGAATGAAAAGCTCAGTATTGCTCTCGATCTGGCCCAATATCAGAACCGTGTCTATTCAGACTGTATTCTGCGGAGAGTCCTACATTCAAGCTTTGCTCCTTGCTGTGCAAATCTTATTTATAATAATTTGGCACACAGATACCTCATGCATCAGATGTCACATGTAAGATTACGCCAACATGAAACTTTTACATACAAATAAAACTGAAGTTTATTTTATCAGGTATACCTTTTGACCTCAAATACAATCATTGACCCACATTTGTTGAATGCGGTTGTTATATTGAGGGTTGTTATATTCAGGCTGCACTCTCAGCCCAGAATCATGTGAGTACTTTCCAAAAATTTGAGTCCTTTTGTATTAAACTCACCACAAGTAGTTCTAATGTGTGTTAAGGTGTCTGAGACTGATATTTTTCGTATTTTTGCATTCTCAGGATGCAGACAGGCACAAGCGAGTGAGGGAGTCAAAGCACGTTTGTAAAAATACAAGGACTGGCACTACTCCTGTTCTGTGCAGACCCAGGCCAGCGCTGGCCACACCTGTTGCCCTTGCTGTTCTCCTTCGCCTCGTACCCTCAAAAGAGAACCTTGAAATCCCCCCTCCAAACAGCCACTGCCCCATGCCAATTGCAGGAGGAGGAAGCAGAGGGCGAAGGCCAATGCTGAGCAGACCTGGCTAGAATTTCTAGAACCATCTACTGCTTTTCAAAATATCAAGTCTGTTCTACTGGAATAGAGTCACAGCCTTTTCCATTCCCCACTCGACATTTCCCCTAAACCCAATTTGCATTTTATAATTGCAAAAATGAGGCGTGCTTGGGAGTCTATAATTATTTCAAAATTAAAAACTAAAAAGTGACACATGCTCATTGAATTAAAATTATAAAAATTAAACAAGCAGACAAATATGAAGTGAAAGTTTCCCATCTCTCAGAGGTAAACCCTGTTCCATGTGTTACATGCCCTTCCAGACTGCTTTCTACACGAACCCAGTCTGTATAAGTTCTGTTGTGAAAGTGGAACCATTCTATACACACTATTCTGGAATAAACTCTCAGCATTTATTGAGGGCATCACATCCATATTCATATCCCTGTCTATAGTACAGACATATC